TTTCTGTATTTTCAAACAACAACAAGAACAACAACAACAATAGCAACAGCAGCGACAGCAATGCTCACAGCTCTGCACGTGACCATTGACAATTTGCGATTCAAGTTGCTGGCCATTTATGACCTGCCCCCGTTCCGTCCTGGTCGCCTCCAACCTGTAGCCAACTGAGTGTATTTTTTTTTTTTTTGTATTTTATTTTGTTGCCGTTTATTTGACTCTGGGCCAAATGGCCTGGCCACCTACCCACCACCGCACACAGTCAAGAAGTTTACTCGTTGTCGTCCATTTGAGCTTTAATATTTCCTGCAGGCACATTTGTCGAGTTTTAGGGTCTGTCCCAACATCAAAGCGTTGGCGGAAGTTCAAATTGCTCTGACAGCCCATACACTTGTTGGAGCTGACGAGCCCCAAGAGCTCCGGCGTAGTCATAATATGATTCCGATTGCTTATGGCCAAATGTCGTCCCAGTGACAATCTCACCTAAATTAACTCCAAAATTAGCCAAGTGCTTTGATTGCCAGCCGTATTGGGCCTTTAAGAGATTTTCTGAATTTCCTAGAAATGCCTGGGCTTTCAATAAACTGCCCTTTGTTATATGCCGGCATAGGAAGTTATAAAATATGGAAAATATACGCATGTGTGTGGCAGGCTTTGGCAATTTGATTGGATTTTCATTAGATTGAGTTGGCCAATGGAAATTATCATACATAAAAGTTTTTGTGCAAAAGGTTCCATTAGATAGCATTTTAAATTGATATTATCTATTAAAGCTTTTCCTAGCGTAAATTAAATAAGTAAATGGTTGGATCAAAGGCTTAAAGGCATAGGGTAAATTTTACCTTTATTTAGTCAACTGCATTATGAACATATTTTGATAAAAGCTACATTTAACAATTGAGTTTCATGTCATGCCTACAATTCGAGGCACAGAACATGTACCGAGCAAAGGCGGGAAATACCAGCTAGTATTTATATAGTCTTGTACAGTTATTTCGAATTTTATTTATAACAAGCTGCTCGCTGCGTTAATCTTTTATGAAAAATCTTTGTGCAAGCGCAGCAAAACTAATTTTATGATGGATTACCTGAGGCTACCCCCGAGCGCAAGGGAATATCAATCGAAAAACTCAGATACTGAATGTTTGCCAGTGGTCGGTCGCCAGTTTTCAGGTGGTTCCACTAGGTTGCACTTATCGTGCCCGCTTTGCTGTCCATCAAATGCAGCGCAGCGTGAGGCTTGCCACGCTTATCACATGCACACATACACACATACACACAGGTACTCCTCGCGTCCGCGTCGAATGTGTGACTGCCTCTCCACCTCCTTTGCGCTAATAGAAACCTCAAAGTGCATTTTCTTTTGTTGACATTTGTAAAATGCAAACAGAACACGCAGAGGCGATAGATAGCTTCGCGTATGGACACGGATACGGACGCGGATATGGACACGAACCGAGGTCTCAATGGTTAGAGGCATCACTCAAAGTGATTAGATCATGCCAAAGGGCAGGCCCAAATGGCGGATGGATAGATAAGTTAAGCCGCTGTTAGGGGCGGGCTCCATAGAAGTATGTGCAAGTTCTTATATGTGGGAGCTTCAATTAGTTTCGATTTTATTGCCCAAATGGGCATGAGAATGGAATGATATGGTTATGGCAACGACTTCTTTCCCTATTTAGCCAGTTTGCCCATTCCTTTTACGATATTGACACTAGAAATCGTGACTTTTTCATTATGAACGGGATTTACACGTGTTTATGGCAGCTCATAAATGGGTTTGCTTCGCCCCACAGGGAAGTTCAACGGGTCGCAGTTTCCAGTTTAGTTCAGTTCAGGGCGGTATGAGTGTTAAGTGAGTTGCAAATTTACGTTATTGTTGGCTGAAATCTCCAGGTACAAAGGCTGTACCGAGACATTACACATTAAGATCTTGGCCAAGTCTTGGCCTCCTTCTGTCCGGGCTGCCATTGTTGGCAGTGCTTAAAAAGCAGTTGCAAATGGAAGTTTGCTTTGAACGTGGAATGACACCTTTTGACAAATAGTTGCAATAAAATGTCTAAGTGCTGCGTGCAGTGTTGTCGTATAAACTCTGTTAATCTGTGTCCGTCTTCAGAGCCAAAAGGTGCCAGCAGCACTAAGACTGTGTATGTTTTAGACACATCTTACGCGTGGCTGTCTGGTACACCCGCTTATGGAGACTAATCGTTGGGTAACATGAAATTCATGCCGCAACGAATTAGCTCTTCTAGCCACGTCGTTGACAGGCACGGAGCGCACAATTTGAGCCAGAAAGAAGATATTATGTAAAATAATATATAATTTTGATAGCACCCAATTTGAGCCTGTCATAACAAATGTGCTGAAACAAGTCTTGAATATGTATAACCAAACCGACCTAACCCCCCCACATCCCAGTCGGGGCACGCAAGAAAATTTCTGAATGAAAAAATATCGCAACAACAATAAAAAAAAAAACCACAAAAAATCGATATATGTAAAAAATGTTTGCATGACTTTAGGAAATTTAGCAAAGTTCTGTTTTCTTTTTTTATTTTTTTTTTGTGTGCGCTGCCTCTGGGCTCGAGGCCTGCCAGTTCGTCCTCACTGCTCGTTGGGCCTGCCCAAATAAAGCTTCATTGATATGAAAAATATCTTTTAAATGCCATAAAGTAGCTGCGAGGCAGCGGCCTCTGTGTAGAGCGGCAAAAACAACACTCATAAAATTAATATGATATAATAAAGAAAAATTTGCAAGCTGCCAAAACCATAACGATTGATTCTGAATTATAGCCAGGAGTCACAGCGCAAGGGACGCTTCCGTGCTGAGTGGGGTACTAAGGTTCCGCCTTCAAAGGCCACTTTGCCGCAATATGTTTGTGGGGCTCAAAGCGAAACCGATTCGAATAAATAATACGGGGCCACATAAAATCAAATATGTTGCGCTATCGAACCCAAAAAAAAGTATATGTATATATAGAATGAAAGAAATGAGATGGTTTGGCTGCGTCTAGTTGCAGGCGTGGCCACAAGGAATTTTCTAGGGATTAGTGCGCCACTTGCTCAACTCAAGCGTTGAGGAGGGGCAGGAGTTGGAGGTTTGTCAAATTAATCACTGCATTGTTCAGCGCTTTTCAAAATAATAAATACTTCAGCGCTACTATAAAATAAATTACTCAAAATCATTTTACTATCGCTATGAAACAGCACATAGAACAAAAGTTCACTGGAATAGGCATATGTATAGTTTTTGGGAGATCGCGGCGGAAAACGGCAGCATAGTGTGTTTGGACAGTTTTAAAATTTGGTTTCAGTTTTCCCCTCTCCACCACTCACACACACAGACACACGTTCCAATGCCTTTGTTCGTTGTCATGCGTTTTGTGTGTCAACTTCAAATGAAATGAAATGTCTGGGGAATTTGTAGATCATTAATAACGTCGCATACAAAACAGCAACAAAAACACACACACATACACACAAAATAAAAACGCATTGGGCCACTTAGGAGCCATGAATGGGCGTACGTCGAGAGACTGCGACGCACGGCAGTCGCCAGTTGTCAGTTGGCCCTCGAACACACTGAGGGAGCAACAGAAATACGTAATAAAAATGCCGGGGTGAACCCCGAGCGGCTGTGGCATAAAAATGGAATGGCAAAAATTAATCACAGCGGGCGGAATGAATGAAAAATGCAATCGCTGCCGGTTACAAGACACCTTCCAGTATATAAATACGCTAACAGAATGTCTGAGATCAGCTGTTGTTTACTCCCTTGGGTGGTTCTTAGCGTGCGAGAGCCAGATTTGATTTTGGAAATATGCATATATTTGACTTGATGCGGCAAGTTATGTACAATTTCTGACGATTATCAATCAGAAGCGCGTTTCTCGTCAAAATTTCCACTATTTATAGTTGATTAAATGAACTATATAAATAAAAAACGTTTGATTGATCAAGCAATAAATTGTTGTCAACAAAATTGAAACCCTCAATTAAAATGTTGGCATTTAAGCTAGCTTGAAATTCACCTTTACCTCAATCCCTACTAATCTGCAAGCAATCACACTCAATCCTTAATCAAATTCCTTTCAATCAAATAGATTAAAGGGCCATTCACAATCTCAATCAATTTCATTGCACTTCAATCAGGGATCAATCATAAAAGACTACCAATATAAGAAAACTAATTTTTCGATCTTGTTCTTTCACATTTTAAACGCCTCGCCATCATATTATCATATTATTATTTTGATGTATTTTTAATATCTCAATGGCATTTTTAAGCCTCTGCGATTTATATGGAATTGAAACTGAATTCATGTGCATATTTTTGTTGGGTTTTTCATTTCATATACTATGTATTTCGTTGAATCTGCCCTACTCCCTCAATTCAAAACTGGCACAGCAATTTTCCATTTTCGTATTCGCCTCTTTCTATTATTATTTTTGTTCTCGCTGCATTTCGTTTTGCCTTTGTGTTTTGTTAGTGTTGTTATGTTGGGAGGTTTCTTTTTTATTTTCTCGGCATCGCGGCCACTTCCGCTCCAAGTTTTGGCTATTTTTTGTCTACTGCCACGCTCTTTTTTTTTTGAACACTGCAATTGGGAATACGAACTAGCATAGGGTATGGGAAAGGGAATATTTATACGTCAGCGCACCCCCACAAAAAAAAAAAAAAAAAATAGTTGCTCACTGGCGGGGTCTATAAAATATGGCGTGTGCATCTTTTGCTTTGTTTGCGTTTAATTTGGAGCGAGAAATGTCAAAAAGCTAGACAAAATTGAGTAAACAAACCATAAAAGCAGATTATCAGACTTATAAACATAAACTAAACGACATAGCATTTATTTAAAAGCAGACGAAAAAGATGACTGCAGCTACCAAAATATGCAAATTGAATAGTGAAGTGAAGAAAAAATATATAAGTCAAGCGAGGGCGCTCACTTTAATCGCTGTTAACTTAATTATCAAATGGGTCTTTGAGACTTTTGTCAGTTTAACAGTTTTTAGTTTTTCTCGAAAATTGTGAAATATGCATTAAGTCTTTTTTTTCGGTGCACGCTCATGAATATTCAACGGACCCAAACACTTGATGAAACTCGTAAATTTTCCGACACTGCCTTTTAAATATGCATGAAAATTAAATTCGCCTTTGGCTGCACACAAGCTGATATTTAAATTTGTATACATATATTTTATTGCCTTGCCGTCACTTTCATGTGTCCGGAACAAGTTGATTTGTATTTTATTTTTGTTTTTTATCAACTTAATTGCGGGGGCGGCATAGGCGGCATGGGCGGCGGCCCTGTTGATAGGAAATGTGTCAAAATTTGTTGGAAGTTCTGTAATTTGTAAATATCAAACTCAACGCACACGCACATTCATCTAAAGACTACACAGGTTTCTGACAAGATTGATGGATAGATAATGTGACTGATATATCTCCATTACGCAGCATCCTTTTGCTGCCTGCCATCCGTTGACAGTTAATTTCAAGGCAGTGAGACAATGATTCGATTTTGGCAGTGTCATTGTCCTCCTTAGCAAGGTGATTTGTGGACACGCCCATTCATTGGTAAACTGCCAAGCCAACTTCCTCTTCATTTGTCATGACCCGAAGACAAGGTAGACATCGAATGGGCTAACACAGAAAGCACAAAGTGATTGAGAATAGGAAAAAATGCCGGAGCCATAAAATAGTCGATTGATTGGCATCAATGATGATATTTTAACCAAATCACAGACGCATTTACAGCAGATACCTAATTCAGATGGGCTGACTGACAACTTTACTGGCTGAGAGACCGCAAAACTCAACGTGTCATCGTTAAACCGGCCAACAAAGTCATAAAGTCTCATCTGCAATTGACTGAAGCTGTCTGTGGCCAATGGTCATCTTATAAAACTAGGAGCATAAATCGATTTATGTATATCAGCCTGATAGTAGCTGAAATGAGTTACCATTGAATACACTCAAACTCCTTGCAAAAAATTAACTCATTATGAGACACATTATAAAATCAACAATAGTACCCATAAACTATTCTAAATATATGCAAAGGGAAAAGCTTGCGCCTACTGACTTACAAGGGCTAGAAATCATAACACGTAAGTGAGCAATAGGAAGAAGTATTGGAAAAGTCGACCTGGAACTGGGATAGCAGGTGGGCAAAATATAAAAAAATAAGCTTGAGGACGCGACATCATAAATTTGCGTGGAAAAAACAAGAAGCAGGTCGCCGGTTCAAATTAGGTAAATACATGTTCATATTTATTAATTTAATTTTAAGCACACCGGGTAATATCTTCTTATCATGGATATGCCCGAAAGGGAGAAAGTTAACTGACTAAAATATCACAGAATATAAAATTAAAATGCAATTTATAATCACAGCTCTCTCATTGTGGTGTTTCCAATTATTCAACTTAACAAGCTGCTCAAATTGTTATTTAAATTCAGATAATTATACATACAGCTAATTAAATACATGTATACACGAACTTGTATGTATAAATAAATGATTGTTATTCTATTCAATGGGATTATTTTAAAATATGAAAGTGCCAGGGGCCAAATTGTTTTTGGTGAAATGATATAATATCGATTGCTGTAAGTAAGCAAAACAGACAATTTGTTTTCCATTCGCTGTGTGCATAGACAGAGCAAAAGGGAGAGACAAAGGACACTGGTATGAGGATAGTAAAAGCATTTCAAGTGAAAATAAATAGTACGAGGCAGTGGCAAGAACAGCGGACAAGAGCAACAGACATCAAAGGAAGCACCACACACACACACAAACACACACAGAAACACACACACAAACATACACATAAACATACACACAGACACACACGCCAGCACACATTCACATAAGTAGAGAAAATCGCTTATGCAGGAAGCACTTTTCTTAGGGGCTCCTGCTGAGATTTTCCACGCAGCGGCAGCGACTGCTGCAAAGGATAAGAGCCTGAGCTCTTATCCTCTAACTCTGCGGGCTCTTTATCCCGATGTGCGAGTGCTGCTGGTTTGTGTGGGAACGTGATTTCAGCATAATTCCGTATATCAGCGCATAAATGGAGCATGCCAGTGACACACACACACACACACACACACACACACGCACACACATAGAAATAAACACTCACACAGTCGACAGTCACGGCCACATGCCGCCAGGAGCCAAAGGACCAAGCTGCACTTTTCCAGTTTATTGCGGCTGGCAAACGTCTGGCTGTGGCCTCTGTTCTCCGCTTCTTAGAGCATAGCTCGCTCGCATTTATCGCTCACGGGTCAAGTACATTAAAACGAATGCCAAATTTGTTGAAAATCCCTGCACACATGTGTGAAGCACATGCAAAAAGCCCTTAAAATACACAAAAGTCTAACAGCCGACTAAATATACGTCTATGGGCGGTTTAAGAAGTTGTGACTGATGCTACATTTAAAATATTTTCTTTTTTTTTTAAATAAACTACTTGTGTTTTTCATTTGAAAGAATAACGAATAAAGTTTTGTATTTTCAGTTGATTGCCCTATAGATTGATTTTGTTTTTATTTAATGAATAGTTTTTACATAAACAGCATCCGTAGAACTTTACAAGCTGCCCAGGACTTGCATAAGACCGAATCGACCATCATTCAGTTTTCGAAAATCGAAAATCATCGAGTGCCAATTTACAATTTGCAAATCGAAAAGGCAACCGACGCCATTGCGCAATCCTCAATTCCCATGCCGCAGGCATATGGCCAACAGGCGGATGAAGCGGTATCGTCAAAAGCCAAGCCCCTCTACCCTACCTTGACCGCATCAATACACATGCATAACGTACGCACACGAGCTAACACTCCAGACACAACCGTGGCATGGTTGGCACATCGATAGGTGGCTTGCCAAACCCGAAACATGAAATTCGAGCGCTTTAAAATTGAGCCCATTGATTTTTGAGTTGAGCGTGTCCTTCTGTTGGCCCGAGCTCCCCTGTCGTGTGTGTGTGAGTATTTGTTTTAAAAATATTTCTGGCTTTTCCGCATTTTCATTCATGCCGCACAGCGTCAAAGGCACATCAATTCATTCCCAAATACGTTCACATTCCCATATCCATTCGCAGGATGTTGTTGCGGGAGGGTAATTTTTCAAGTACTTGGTGCCATGTTCCAATGTGTTGTTTGCTTAGCTTCTGTGACTCGAGAGCAGCGGTAGAAAAGGGTCGGGATGTTCTATGTGTGTGTTTTATGGTTTTTCCAATATGTATTGGGACACGAAATCAAGGATTAAAATGAGCAACATCCGCCAGGACTTTGCTTATTTGCCTTCGCGCTTAACCCCGTCAAGGGTTTTGATTTCATCAGAGAGGATGCTCCTCAGCTGCGGGTATCCCAAAAAATTCCAGCATTTATACAAATTATTGTACAAATATTTGGCATTCAAAGTTGGCTGCAAAAGAAAACAATGGGAGGACCTCTGACCAGAAGGGACAACAAAAAAAAAACAGTAGCGACATTTCCGCTGTTATTATTTATTGAATTAATGGATTATTTCTGTGTCAAAACATCTGCGCTCTCAACACGTATTATTTTATATTTATTTATATTTTTTTTGTATATTTATTTTTATTATTTATTCAAAACGCTGTATCCCCTGGCTTATTTATTTGCTTGTTCTTCCACTTTTGGTGGGCGTTTAAGTTTTCCATTTATATACATACTTTTCGAAATTGTTCTCGTTTTCGGCATTGAAATTTAAGTTGGCGTCAATAATAACATAGAAATTAACAATTAAATCTGCAAAGAATTTCTGGAATCCAATTGCAGCTTAAGTGCTCATTACAAAGCGTTGGCAGGGACCTTGGCAAGAGGGTGTCGCCAGGCAACAAATCGTTCAGGATAAATTCTTAACGGTCATTGTTAATTTTTAATGTCCACAATTCACGAGTTGACTCCACTTAGAAATGTATTTTGTTTTGTAAATTATTTATAGCAGCTAGTACGAAAGTTTCTCATGTTCACTTTTATACGCCTTGCTATTCTTTAGAATCTAGCCTGTTTTCGCTTTTATCGTAAGCAACTATATAATTGTTGCCTCTGTTGAGCTGCAATGCTGCCAAATAGTTTGTTGCATGCTTAAATTACATTACGGGCAAACCACAAAATAAAAAGCAATGCTTGCCAAAAAAAAGGCCACAATCACAGCTGAGCAGAGCAAAACAGAAAAAGCCATGTCAATTTTCTATTCCAATTGCCCAAACATACAAAAGGGACGGGCAGAGGCGCGAGTGGGCTGGCAAATACAGTTCGTAGGCCCTTTTTATTTTTATTGGCCGCATTCATTCCAATTGCGGCTACTCACACACTACCATACACACACACATACACACGCACACACACAGCTAAACTGGGTACCTAAACACATGCCACAAATTGGCCAAAGGAAAATCGAAGCGCTTGTAAAGTTTTTTTTTTGCCCTGCTCGCATTAAAATGCACTTGTTAACAAGTAATTTGTCCGGCAATGGCAGATATTTGCTTATCGCAGTCATGAAATCAGTTCAGCGAAATAAAAAAGGTTGAATATTTGATTAGACAGCAAGGCCGTCGAGCTGTTCGGCAGCTATTGGGGGCCGTTGGCTGTCTGTTGACCCCGAACCTGGAAAAAAGGACAGTTTGTTTTCTATTTTACATTTAATGTAGTCCAAGCTGTTTGCATTTTGTTGTTTGTTTGACTGCCTGATTGCTAATTGAAGTTGATACTTGGCTATATTTGGAATGAAACGGATTGGGGTACTTTTTATATGATATGAGTGTAGACTGAAGATGCACTTATAATTAAGATAAAGACAATTGGATTCAGTGTAATGAATGAGGAAATGTGAAACGCTCTTCCCACACATAAAAGTAAGTACTTCATAAGTCTCAAAAATTTATTATTTTCTAAAGCAGGCATGAAGAGTTCAAAAAAACATAACGAAGGGCGGGAAAGAGCGAAGTTTCAGGGCGACGTCTTTTTTGTATAAATACTGCTTATAACTTTAACACTTAAGCCGCAGCGAAGTCCGCTTGAGCACTTGAAAATAATACTGCAATATGGTTATGGTTCTTAAAAAAAGAAACAACAACAATAAGAACAAGGAGAGAGTCAAATCAAATCCCCAGCGAGACAAAAAATCAATTTCAATCAAACAAATGCAACCGTCCGAGGAGCGGCTCAGGCATCGAAATCCACTCAAGTGAACCAACATAAAAACAAAAAAAAAAAACGATACATGAAAAAATCGAGCAGGAAAATTCAAAAATTGAAAGCGGTGAGGGGTTGTTTGCTTGAGAACGAAAGTGGAACCGAGTTTGAGCATTCTTAAAATGAAATTGAAATGAAATGCATGTTACAAAATAATTGAGAATAATCGAATTTAAATCACATTTGGTTGACGCTGATGATGATCAGCTGTAGACGGCATCGATAACAACGACAACTGTTGTCAATGGAGCGCGGACTGAGGCTGGGGTGAACGAGTGTCACAGTTTGTCACCAGCAGCAGCATAAATCCAATTACACATGGCACAATTCGCTCTCGAATTCGGAGGGACATTCGACAGACGATTTGTATGAAAGTGTAGAGCCCAGCCCGCAACTGAATCTAAGTCACATCCCGGTCACAGTTGCTGTTGTCACCAACAACAAATCGCTTTTCCATCCAAGCGCAACATTACAAACTCGAAAAGTGCATTTCCATTTGGAATCCCCTAGTAATTACCGCTGAATGTGAGTGTGTGTATGTGAGTGTGTGTGTGTGTGTGCGATGACTGAATTTCGATGCCAGATGTTTGAACTGAAAGGTTACGCCTCCGTTTGAAAATGCACAAACGCTAAAGTCAACACACAGCCGGACATACCTGATATAATCATAACAATTCACAGCCACGAAACTAAAAACCCTAAAGCACCCATTAACATTTTCTCGAAATTCATTTAATGTGCACGAATGACATTGAAATCAAATGGGATAAAATTATTTTTTATTAAAGAGTCATAGGTTATGTATCGGAAAGTTCTTGGGCAAAGTTTGATCCCAGTGGGACAACTATTAGATATATCGATTGTTATTAGATATTACTTGATTATTATTAACTATTATCTCTGTATATAAAAGTGAAAATTTCACTGTAGTTACCTTAAGTAATGAAGGCGTAGGTAAGACGCGGTTTTTGAAAATTCCTCTCGTATGTTTGGAAAATCGAGAGGATCTATGTATAGGAAAAATCATTTGAGTCGTATTTCACACTTTTCGCAGAATCCAAGCTGTCTCGATAGAAATGCGATTCTACGATTTTTTTTGGCGAATTTTAAAGCATGTTTGTCTCGCAAAAAAAAAGTCAACAAAATCACAACTAGTTAAGATGCAAAAACTGCAGAGCCTACTTTGTCTTGAGGATCGGAGAGTAGAGGGAGGGTTTGTCCTAGCAGATTCCCTACGTAGATGTTAGCTGCTAAATTTAAAAGATTCTCTTAGAACGAATGAATAATTCTAAAATTTGTTGTATATTTACTTTTTAATTTTACACATATATGACCCTTACACCTGGCGAGCCAAGTTAATAGCCAGCCATGATTAAACCACATGGTGTTCTTTATTATGGACTACTGAACCCAAACTAACCTCAAAATAAAACCTGTCAAAATGTTATGCCCATTTTCTCTTTTTAATTTAACGCCCATTTGCTAGCCAACAGCGAAATACAACAGAGCTTCCGAACAATATAGCAACAACCCCTCCATTGCGCTTGCTCACAAAAGTGTTAATGTCTAAATTGTTTTTTTTTTGTTGTTGTTGTATTGTTTGGTTTGGCTTGGTACGGTTTTGTTTTGTAACCCTGCGTAGTTTTCAACATTTCCATTTCCAAACATTTCGACTTGTGTTTTTGTGGTTACGCTGTTTATTTTTCAATTGAGGTTTTGACGCAATTTCGTCAATGGCTCCCAATGTTTTATTTATGCCACCCCCTGCCTAAGCTGCGCTTGGCTTACAGCACGGAACGACGCGATGTGTGTGGAACGATTCAAGCATTGCAACCCTATCAGTTCCGGTTAGGTATATGTATGTGAAATGGTATCTTACACTCACCTTCATCAGCCGTCGCGGGGTGCTGTTCGCTGAAGCTGCCAGGAAGGTTCAGCGTCAGGAAAACGCCAACTAGGGAGACCCATAAGATTGGCAAGAAACAGTGCTCCTTGCTGCGGTTGCTGCTGCTGTTGTTGTTGTACCTGTTACTTGTGCACATTGTGGCAATAGCTGCGCTGCGGCTTTTTGCTGAGTAGGGACAGGCTGTGTTGCTCTATCTATTATTTTGACTTTAATGTGGCTGACTTATTTATTGGCTGGCAGGATGGTTAGCGGGTGCTGGCCCTAACCTGGCCCCGAATTCCGAGTCCGTATGGGCTGTCTGAGTTGAAAGTTGTTCACTCTACTTTTGTTAATTTAACGTTTTTCATAAGTTTTTCATTTCGCCAGGCTGCTTTTCCGAGTTCGCTAGAGTTGTTGCAGTTGATGTTTGTTTTGTGCTCATCGTATTTATTCACACTGCCTCTCTCTCTCTCTCTCTCTCTCTTTTGCGACCAGTTGTTTTCCCGCTCTGAATATGTGGTTTTTCGTGCTGTTTCAATTTGATTTAATTTGCATTTGGTTTTTGCCACTGTTATGCTCCACTGTAAATAGAAAATAGAGAATTTTCACGAATTAGTTTTCATTTATGCATAACAAGAGCGATAACAAAAACAACAACGACAACAAAATATTGAATTGCAATTGGATTGTATCAAAGAATGTATGTAAAATTTCTATTTTGATGTTGTGGCATGCAACACATATTTTAGTTGCTTCTTTTGTGAAAACATTTTGTGGCTGTGGTTCCCACGACTTGAGAGGATTATTTGCTTGCGAATTTTAGTTTATTGTTAGAGAATCTATTCAATCCGATTTACGAAAATGCAGACCAAAATATTGCTTTTAAGGTAGATGCCAAAACATTTTAAATGAAAGGGTTTAAGTTGCATTTGATAGAGTCATCATCATAATAAATACGTATTAATAGATATAAACTATTGTTATAAATTTCTATGGTTTGATCCAGAATACCCTTTAAATTTAAATAACTTAAGAATTGTCAGTAAATAACCGGTATACATTTCTGACACCGCAAAATATGCATATGAATTGCAATTAGCTTAGAAAATATACAAATTTTAAGATATTTAAAGTTTTCTTACATCACTTGTCACTTTTTCACTTCATTCACTGCAATATCAAATATTCTGCTTATATGGTTAGAAATTCCTCTTTGAAATTACACCAACAAAGAGTTGAAATAATAATTTGACACGCACATCAACTGAGAAAAGGCGAAATGAATTTGGCTAAGCAGAAGCAAAGGCTTGTAGGGGTCCCTTTAGGAAAAATAACTCATCTGGAATGCATGACCTCTGCCCAAGAATGAAGTAATCATTCTTGATGGCAACTATTTAAATATTTAAAATGCCTGAAAGCATTCTCAATGCTCGACAGACACAGCCTGGGAGCAATATATCTGATAGAATATACTAATACCGCCGCGAACTGAGCAGCCAAATGACCAGGTTGCATTAAATGTTGTTCTTGTTGTATTTGGTGTTGCTGTTATTGTTACTGTTGGTCAACGCCAGGGGCCGAGTAAATAATAAATAAATAAATATTTATTTTAATATTAAACAACAACAAGAATGCTGAGTTGTCGCTAGGGGTTGAAAATATAAGGAACATTTTGTGAGGCTTTCAACATGACAAAACAAATTGACCTCGATTTTTTTTCTTACAACAAATAACTCAGGACTGTCGTAAAGTCGACCAAAAAGGTAGCAAATGTAACCAAATAAAAACTCACCGGGTAAGCACAACTTATTCACAACTCACACACACTTACGACCGCACTGAGGGGGGCTGTCATTCACAGTGAAAGTCTTGTTGTGTGGGCAGGTGAAATATTGCTTAATATGAAGTAAATACAAAGATTTAAGTAGCAATCAGGCTGCAGCAAAGTTTCCCCTCGACTTGTTACCTATGTGCTCTACTTTATTTCCTTTATTTTGCTTTCAGCAATTTCGCAAGATTTTCTTTGGCCAAGGGGCCTTCCAGTGATTCTTCTAATTCAAACACAAATACACACACTCACACACACACACACCCGCAGAGACACATACGCATACACCTGCATTGACACTTTAACGGGCCAAGGGAAAGAACTTGAGGGCGTGAATAGGACAGGGTCGGAATCAGGGCTCGGTGAAATTGGGCGCTAAGGAACAACATTTGAGGTATTCACTAATAATGTTAATTAGAAAATATATTAACATTATAAAAATAAACATATAACTAAGAAATTTAACTTTTTTGAAAGATAGACATTTTCTAGCGATAATCATTGTAGCTCTTCTAGTTCTACTAGTTCTTCCTCCTCCTCTTCTTCTTCCACCATTAGCTCATCATCATAATCACTGTTTTCGGATTCAGATTCATCGTCATCATCATTAGACTCGTCCTCATCTTCGTCTACAATAACAATCAACGGTTTTCCGTTTTTTTTCTCATAATATGAAAAGCTTTTTCGACACACCGGACATCGTCGATTGTAACGCACAATCTCGCAATACGCCTCCATGCAATTAAAACAAAAGGAATGCTTGCACAGGAGGATTACCTCATCTTTCTTTGACATCAGGCAAAAGGCGCAACAGTCCAGTTCTTCATTGGTTTTATCCATTTTCTTGCATAGCAAATTTTAATAATTTATAAAAATCTCGTCTGGACAAGTTAAGAAAAGTAAATGCCATACAAGAATATATGTTTTGCTCTAAATAACATATATTTTATTCTTAAACTTCTCGAAGTGAACAAATATAAATTATTTTTAAGCGGTTTGAGTTAGTTTTCAAATGAAAAGAAAAAAAAATGATACGCAGTTTGCTTATAATATGAATAACGCTCTTCTGGGTTTTGCCCCATGAACCGCTCCTGTGCGCGTGCTTAGCTCGCAGTGGTGAGCCAAAGGTGTGCCTTGTTGGAGCCACGAAAAGTAAAAGTAGCAGCCAGCTGGCAGTGGAGAGCAACTTCCAACTAGCAACTGGCTACAATGCATGGGTTGCCATTCATAATATTAGCGCGTCGAGGCGATGACGATGACAACGAGGACGGAGACAAGCTGAAGCAAACAAAAGCTCGAGCCATGTGCAAGGACGATGTTGTGGGCTCAACATCGCATTGGCAAATATATATAGAGGCCAGCAGTTGGGGGCAGGAGTGCCACAAACTACACGTGTACGCAAAGCAATCAACAAGCAGGATATGAGGCGAATGAGTAACATAAATAATAAAAATGAGAGTTGCTGGCGCAGTCACCTCCTTCACAAGCCACCTGCCACCGGCCCCCTCTGTATAGCACTCACAACATTCGCATGAATGATGTCTGAATGGTAAATGTGTGAGTGGCAGGTAGGCTGGCAGGCTGGCAGGCTGGCAAGGATAACTGAACTGAGAGGGCCGCATATCGTGGTGAGGCAGTCCCCGCAGCACGACTGCCAGAACGCTGCTTATTTATGCTGCGCCTATTGGCTCCACTTGAGACCCGAGAGCCCAGTGCTTCGACCTCACACCCCAAAACCTGGATACCAGCACTGTCTGCCCTATTAGAATCTAGCGTAAATAGAAAATATTTATGTATTATGCAAAGCGAAATGCGTCGTATACATCGACTTGAATATTCGGGACGTTGCCAAATAATGGAAACCTGTTGGCTGAAAATCTAATTTTCATGCACGCATCGAAGCCGACAACGAGGCCAAGGCGAAAGTCCCCCATGAATCCCAACGCGTAAATATACACAAATTCACCGATCTGAGACAGGTTCCTCGCACACTTCAAACACCCACGCAGCATCTCATGCATATAACTCACCAGTCGGGCGGTTGGCATAGAGCCGAACCTTCACATGGGTATTTAATTTGGGTTTACGCATCTATTGCCTGCGGCAGAAGTATGTGAGAGTGGCAAACGCAGATGCCAAATATACGTTTCCTTTGCTATATATATCCTATATACACATATTATGGGCAGTAGCCAAGAGAGATGGCCAATTGTTTACGTTCCTATTGTCGATTTGTGCAGCCTTGGAATAGAAATCGTATTGAGCAGAGGCAACCTCTAGAGATTTCAGAATATACTGCTTGAATCTGGCAAATGTAAATACACTTTTTCCTTTCTATTTTCCAATTGTGATGTGTTGGTGTACATACCTTTTAAGGTAATGCAAGGTTTTGCTTGCAAAAAATTGCAAAAATTGCTCAAACCGAACATTTTCTAACATTGCTGCTTTATAGACTAAATAATAAAATACAAGTCCCTTGCTTCGTATAAATATTTTCTTGGTTTGCTTTGCTCTAAAATTTCCCACTTATGGTTTACCTATTTTGTTTTACCCAAAAGTTAAACACTTTCAAGGTAATGGTTGCTAGGTTTAAAAGAAAAGTTTATCCTGAGTATAGCTGCGTTTAAATTGTCAGCTCTTTAAGCTGCTCAATTCATTTTGTTGATTTTCGATGTAGTCATTGTTTAGTTTCCCGCAAGCCCCCACAGACTCATGAAATTCTACATGCCAAGCCAATTTGCATAAGTGATTTGCTGCTGCTGCTGCTGCTTCTACTACAGCTGAGTAATGTCTGCTGGATTCTAGTTCGCTTCACATGATCTCTTCATTCACACCCTGCGGCGCATCAAAATGCTGTTTTCCTTCATTGAGGTAAACTGCGTCAAAATGGAACAACGTGACGCCAACAAATTTATGAACACAAACTCTACATGCAAAACGAATTCGAGACTCCGGTCCGGCTTGCTCCGGGAGATTGAGACTGGACCATGTCACATTGGCAGCTGGTAGCTATTGTTTAACTGGTGTGGTGCTAGGTGGGGCGCAGGGTGTTTGGCTGCAGTACGTAAAATTAATTAAAAAGGACGCATAGCGTTAGTCAAGGATTGTTGGCAGAGACTGTGCCAGACAGTAGAGACAAAGGACAGACTTCGGCACACACAATGAATGGGCAAAAAGATGTCAACACTTTATTCAAGATGATGACGTCGTCGTCGTCGTTGTCGTTGTCGTTGTCGTTGTTGTTGTTGTTGCTATGCTGTCCATTGTTGGCTGTCATTGTTTCATATTGCTCTTCTCATCGTCGGCGACAACGACGACATCCTTCGCCGTCCTTCTGCTGTTTATGAAGTGCCAGGATATCTGCACGTCGCCTTAGAACGGGCGCATTGTTAATAATAGAATCTTCTATTTTTTTCTGCTTGTTTCGCGTTACAAACTGGCAGCAACAGCAACAACTACAAGGAGCACACTTATTCTTTATTTTGTTTCCACTTGAGTCTGCAGGGAATTTCCTTTGAAAGAGGTTACTTTGCTCTTTCAGTTTCTGTTTCTGTTTCAGTTTCAGTTTCAGCTTTTTTTTTGTTTTATTTCATTTCACATAACTTTTGTTTTACCACCTGGAAGTATTTTCTTTTTAATTTCTTTTTTTTTATATACTTATTTATATTCCTGTTTTTTATTTTTTCTAGCTAAGTATTTGGCACAAGAGTTTAGCGAATCTTTTTGGGAAAGCGGCTTGTCATTTAGGTAATTGTATTTATTAGTTTATACGAAAGTCTTTTCGAGAGTTTCATTTCTTTGAATTTTGCCCCCGCACACTTTTCACCACATCAAATCAAGTGCACATTTTACCACAAAACTTAAGATATGTGTGTATTATTAGATAATTAATTAAATATTTTCAGGAATCTTTGCTTGGCATTTTTGGTATTCCTTTTAGCAAAGCAAATATTTTAGCTAATAAATTTATGCTGAAAATCACAAAATTTAAAACTTTTGCATCAGCTTTCGAAGTCACTTGGCTTTAGACACAAAAATGCTTGGCAGAAAGCCACACGAAGTTGAAAAGAATTTCCGAAACGTTCTTAAATTTTGCCAGCTGCAGCTGTTAAATGTCCTGCCGACTCTATTCTGTCCGTTGGCCACAACAATTTATTGCACTAAAATGCAAACTTGAAAAGTGCATAAACCAAATTGCGTTTCACATGTTGCATTGTATATTTAGCAAAATGAAAAGCAAATAAGTTCAAATTGCATAAAATTTTCGGTGTGAAAATATTTGCCATGGAAAATGCAAAGGCAAACATAACAATTTTTAACATTTTTCTTCGGTTGCATATTTTTGATAAAAACACAAATGTGTGTGTGTACATTTTTATTTATACACATATGCACGGCATACATATTATTATTATTTCAACGAATTTTTTTAATTAATATCAAAAAGTCAACGCGACGCGCATTGTCGGTCATTTCCCCTGGAGGGATCAACTGGCAGGACATGGACACAGGACACGAAACAGTGAGCGACCACAGAGCACGTAAAATGTCAATGCCCACAAAAGGAGGAATTAAAAATAACAAGAAACGTTGAGTCGCTGTGGTTGACTAAGTTATACCCTGCCAATATTATAAAGCATTTAAGTATTACAATCCAGCATGTGATAAAACAAAATTTTGATAGTTCAAGATCTTGTCATAAATCATTTGAAATGTAAGTTACCCAATAACTAAGGAAAATTTGGCTTTTGTTAACTAAAGGCACAACTCCAGGTATTATCGGACGGATTACTATTTTGTTTTTTGAATACAGGGTATGCTGTACCGCAACAGCTGAAAGTCATAAAAGATGCATATATGTGCGTATAGCTGCTATGTAATTGTATTCTCTATAAATATAACAAAAATTGTTTATAAAAATGGAATCGAGCGCTCGCCGGCTTCTTCTCGCTCGTGTGGCCCAAAATCTGTTGCATTTTTTATTTATGTATCTTTCCCTTTCTCTCTCTCTCGCTGTTTGGCTGTCGCTTTGTTTACTTATAAAAACGAAACTGATTTTTATTTTTGTCGCCGCAGGGTTGAAAAAAAAGGAGCAGCCAGAGCGAGGCTCATGGGGCTTTCACCGAAAAATGCCGTGTAACAAGCCGAGAAGTGTGCCAGGACACCTACACCTGCACCTATACATCCGCCCACCTACAAACACACACACACACACATACACACTCGTGTAGGTACTCTGGGGATCCTTGGCATTTTTCAAATGGATTACAAAATGCTTGGAAAATTATTTTCGAATGTGCCGCCAGAGAGTTTTCGTGGCCTGGTTCAGCATTTTGCAGCCCTTTTACTCAGAAGTTAACTGTGGTTGTCAGCAAAAGGAAGAGTTATGGATGGTTAGTCGAAGAGGGGGCGGTAAATGCAATAGCTCCGACGGTGGTTAAAAGATGTTTTATTGGCTTGCTCGCTTGTTTTCAAAAAAAAAAAAATGTTCGTGGTAAAGGAAGCGACTTACTAGAAGCAATGCGGCTTGTGTGGGTGAAGACTGTGTTGCTATTGGGGAGTTAAGAGGCAACTTCTGAGTGGTATAAAAGGAAATGTGTACGAGGGGGCAACTGCCGGCTACGGCTCTTTGTCTGGCTGTGAATGCGTTTTTGCGGTTTTCATAGGCTACGCACGTGCCAAAGGCAAGTTTGGCTAGCTGCGCCTGCATGTGTGTGCGTGTATGCGTGTGTGTATTAATTGATGGTTTCTATAGCATATATATGTATGTATGTATATAAGTTTATGGGTGTGCGTACAGGCAAACAGGATCTGCTACTCATGGCAGCAAGTGGGCGTCTCTGCCGACTGTCAACTTAATTGGCTGCGGTGTGAAATTAATTGGATTTTTACGCACTTTATCTTTGTTTTTAATTACCGCCTACAAGTTAACAATAGCAGCTACTGTAAGCAATTTACACAGCCAGTTGCTGTGCCCAATTGAATGGGATAGTGTAACACAATTGTTTACTTATAGCATTTTCTTTGGAACAAACTGCATTAATTGAGCATTTAGTTATCGATTTTCCCTATCGCACTTGTAAGTAAATGGACAGCAGCAACAACTTTATCTGACGACCATTAAATATCTTATGCCCCTCCTGCTGCCGCGCCTTATGCAGTAATGTACTATGAATTATGATGCGTATGGCACGCTAAAACCACCACAGCAACTAGAACAATACCTGTAAATAAAACACGCACACACACACACACATAAGCAAACGGCGACGGCACTTTGGACATTACGGAAAGTTCCCTAATTCGCCGGCCAGACGCTCTGCCCTAAAGCTGACGCCAACCAAGCCCCCGGACACTCTCTTTAATGGAGATTAACTTTAACCCACAAAAAAGGACAACATATAAATATGTCGTTTAGGGTGTGCGGTTTGCTTGTCTCTACGATACCCTTTAATAAGCGCTTCATCAACAAAGAATATTTTTATTAATAACAGTACATTTCGTTTAGCCAACAACTTAATCAATTTAATAATAATATTTATAATACAAATTTAGTAAATTCGTTAAGTTGAAGAATACGATTTTTTAGGAAAAAATGACGTAAGCACATCATATCCCACATTATTACGGCACATACAGGGTATGCCCAGTTTATATTGCGTTTTTGTGTCTCAGGCTCACTTTGACATATGCACAGGCACACGAAACAGCAACACGCAGCCTAACGCTGAGGCTGAGGATCCGCTTAGGCGAGAAGGGGCTAACTTACTTGGAGTTGGAGGTGGGAGTCACGGGCGCTGGGTCACGCACAGGGCACAAATTTTTCATCGTTAACAGCCATAAAGAAGGCAAAAACCAACGTGGCTGCTAACAACCAAGTGGCTATCCAGTCTCTGCCACAGGGGTGGTGCAGGGACAGGGCCAGACCGCAGCTAATGCAAAAACAAACACAGTGGCCAAACAAATTTGCACAATGCACACACACACACACACACACACACACATAAGTACCTTGCAAAACAGGAGACGCAGTGGCCAGACGAAGAGCCATAGAGTATTGGGTAAAGGGAGATGAAGAGATTTAATGCAAGATAACCCACACAGGCAGCGGGTGCTAATAACAAAACAAGCGACACTGGCTACAACAACAACAACCGCAACAACAACTACAACAAAACTTGATTGCGGTTTTTTTTCTTTTTAGAACCACGTACTCCCCTTTGTCGGCAACTGCTTTGGGCGCTTTGTGCCTCGTGGCTGTTGTCGAAGTTGCAGAACGGACAACAATTAGAAAAGGGTTGCAAAAATTATAAATAATTTAGAAAAATTTAATGCACAATTTAATTGTTATGCGAACTGTGCGAACAGACAAAGCTGTCGTCGGAATATGTTATTAGTAAGCCACAATGGACAAGGATTTAAAACAATACTTTGTTCAAGATCTTTTTTTTGCGGCTGCGCATGATAATTGCGTGAATAACATAAGAAAATGTAGTCCACGTGTTTTCAATATTATTTATATAGCCCGGGCAATGCCGGGTAAGTTCGTTTAGTATTTACAAAGGGAGATTTATATGTTTTTTTTTAACCCTATATCCCTTAAAGGCAGACGAAGATTATATAATTCTGTTTGATAATCATTTAAAAAGGCATTTTTAAGTTCAATAAATATATATGTATTATCGAACAGTATGAAGAACCGAGCCGATATAGCTGTTGCTATGATTAATGTTTTTCTTGCTTTAGATATCATATTTGGACTCATGGAACGAGTATACATAGAGAAGGAACTAGTATATCATATGTGACATAGGAACTATCGGAGGAAGTTTAACTTCTTTTACTTATTTCCAAAATATATTCAATAAATTTAGCATATACAAGAATCCTTGTGCTCCTCATAGCTAAGAAATTATCATCAGCATGGAAAATTATCCCTAATCTTAAATATTTTTACAAGGGTACTTTATATTGACCTACCAGATATAAATGCTATGTTTTCCTTATCTGATAACAGCTATATGGAAAAATTGTACTTTTTCCCTATGATAACTACGCACCCCTTTTTCTCAACATTACCCCACTGTGAGTTGAGTGGTGCGTCACAGAATTTAACAGTGGTTCGTTCTTGTTCTGCATTTATAATATTGGCTGTAGCCGCAGAACACATCTGTTGTGTGTGTGTGTGTGTGTGTGTGTGTGCTTTGTGCGCCTTTGAGTGTGGCGCCAACGTCATGTGCATGCCACCTAGCTAGAATCTCTCGTCGGCATGTCCCCTTTAACCATTGCAATCCCTTTTGGCGCCGCAGCACTGAGGTCTGGGCAAAAGGGGCGACTAGGCGTGAATTATGACCTATTGAAACCTCAAACAAGTCGCACCACAACAACAACAACAACAACAACAAGAACAAGAACAGCAGAGAGGACCACATAGAGCATTACAACACCTACGCGCCCTGACTCATTCCGTCATTTGTTGTGCAACATATTCACTCCTTTCATTCTCTCACTCTTTTATTCTTTCTATGGTTCACGGGGCTACGTTACGCCAGCAATTTTTACTTTATGACTTTATTTTGTCCTCGTTTTATGCATTTTTTATGCTCGACGTCGCGGTTTTTCTCACTTTGTTGGCCAACAACATATCCCCTGCCAGTTCCCGATCCCCATTAGAGAGTATTATCACCCTCCGCCGCCGTCGCCGACAACTGTGTCTGGTGTTGCTGCGCTTCAGTTTAGTTCTTGTTGTTGTCGAAAGAGTTTTTATTATTTATGCATTATTTAGTTGAAGCGACAATTATTGGTTGTTAGGAAGTTTTATGAGCCCAGAGGATAATGTAAGACATGTGTGTGGGGCATAACTTATGCAAGGGGTCCCCGAGGATGCACACACCCCCGACTGACAAACATACCGACCGTCAAAGGCGTGGCCTTTTAACCCTTTTGTCAGACACATTATGAGTCAACTGACACGCTAAGTTGAATAAAATGCCAGCATGGTTGTGGGTATAGAAAAGTGAGTACTTTTAAATAACCCAATGGGAAGGTAATTAGAAAAATGTAAAAAACACAAATCCGTAACTAAAGAGCATTAACTTTCGTTTATAACTGGCAAAGCCATTAAACGAAACTTTTATAGCATAACTAGCTTGCAAATATAAATATAATAAATGATAAAAAATGAAGAAAAGCAAATTTAATAAGAAATAAAAAGAAGGCAGGTTAAATAAGTATAATTAAATTTAACTTGTGAAAATAAAATTAATTTTTTAGGGAGTGTGAGAGGAAGGAGAGTGGGCTGGCAGAGTGGGCTGGCTGAAGCCAATTTATTGGAAAAAAGGACGAAAGAGAATATGAAATGAAATGAAATAAAATGAAATGAAATGAGGAAAAGCACGCGCAGCACTGTGCATAAAAGAGGCAACTGAATTATGTACCATAATAAAAAGTTATGACTGTAAAATTTTTTAATTGCACATTTGGGAGATTTTTTGTTGTTGTTTTTTTTTGTTCTTGTCGTTGCTTATTTAATTTTAAATTCAAGCACGGGCTGCTAACGTTTTTCTTGGCGTATTTTTGGCTTGTTTTCATTAAGCGCATTTTACGGACGGGCGGCAGTAAAACAACTTCATCGACATTTACCATTCAAATTTGTCACGAGACAATGACAAAGTTTATTTTGTTTTTGCGGTGCTCGAAAGTGAAACAAAAGCTAAACATTTCCAACAACAACAAGCTGCTGTTGTTAATGCTTGTTGTTGTTTTCTTTGTTGCTGCTTTTGTTTTGACTGGGCAAACATCGTCAGGCTTTTCTTTTTTTTTTTTGTTTATGCGAAAAATGAGCGATTAATGGCCTTTAGGCAAATGTTTTTCACCGGCTTTTCCTCAATTTGCTTGTGAGTGTGCGCTTGGGTTATGTTTGTGCTGTTGCTGTTGTTTCTGTGTGAATAAGGAAATTGAATTTAT